TTTTTTTTTTTTTTTTTTTTTTTTTTTTTTTTTTTTTTTTTCTCCTGTGTTAAGGAAATGAACACCAAATCCAGCTCTTCCACTCTAAATTTGGAGAGCTCCTGTCAGCTCCCACATCTCTGGCTCCTGAGGTTTGGTGATGCTGGCAGTGGGGGAGAAGGAGTTAAGTTTGCATTAAATAGCAGCCCAGCTGCCTGCAGGGGCTCCGATCCCACTCTTTATTCCACAACGTTTGACGGCTGAGGAAAAGCCAGCTCCAAATTCACATGGCACTTTCTAAACCAAGAACAAAATTCCATCTGTCTGCCTTGGTTCGTTCTCTCAGAGAAAACCAGGACAAGCTGATTTTGGGGTGGACAGACAGCTCTTCACTTGGTGCAGTTTTGGGGCTTTGCGGTCCAGGACGTGCCTGGTTGGGTTCCAGGTTGGTCATTCCCGGGGCTCCCCTCCCAGCCGGGGGTGCGGGGCAGCCCAGGCTCCCGGGGGGTGGGCGCTGGTGGGCCAAGGGCCAGCTCTGTCCGCTGTCCATCCCTCGGCAGGTGGATCTGTAGGAAGGGTTAGCTCTCTCTGCCACGGGAGTGAGTTCTCAGCCAGCACTGGGCGGGACGGGAAGCGCGGCCACGGAGCAGTGGGCTCCAGTACAGGGCTGGAAACAGCTGAGACAGGCGCTTACCTTCTTCTAAATCCTCCTTGGACGGCTGAAGAGCTCCGGTCTGCGGGTGAGCGGTGCCCGGCTGGGCGAGGGATGCTCTGTGCGGCTCCGTCCCTGGGGGCACACGCCCGGAGGAGGGACGGGGAATCGCGGTGGGCTCGTTTCAAGGGGTCGGAGGTCAGGTTGTGTGCCAGGCGCTGTCTCCTGGCTCGGGGCAGCTCATCATCAGGGAGCTGCTGGTGGCAGGGTGTGAGGAGCAGAGGAAGCCTGTTCCATGTGCTGGCTGGGGTTTCCTTAGTGTTCCGGCAGCCTGGCGGCGGGTACAGGGGCTGGGGACTTTCACTGGAACATTTGAGGATTTGTGTTGTGTTTAAACGCAGCTGTTCCTGCCTCTCTCCTGCGGGATTCTCTCGCAGCCCAAGATCTCCCCTGGCTTTGGGTGCTGAAGCGACCGAGCAGCACGCTCTCCCAAAATGATGGAAAATAAAGTGTTCCTGTCTTTCACGTTCTACAGCACAATTTTGATTTTAAAAATGTATGTCGTTGCCATCATAACGGGGCAAGTGAGACTCAGAAAGAAGGTAAGATCCAGTTTCGTTTTCCTTATCCTCCCTTTCTGGCTCTTTGCTTGGGTTTCTGTGGTTTTTCTTTCTTCTTTTATTCCTCTGAAGTTCAACAAAATTTTCCTGAAGCAAGCTGAGTTTTCTTTGACTAGAGTTGAAAGCAAAACTTGTTTCATAGCTGCAGCAGATAAATATCTCACTTCTCTTTGACCCTTTTTGTTTGTTTCTACCATCTGTAGCTTGATGTTTATAATTTTGGAAACCTAATCTAAATAATAATCAGATCTAAAATACCAAGCAGGTGAGATACTTCTAGAAAGAGTCTGTTTACAGTTAATTTGCAGGGTCTGGAAAAAAAGGAAAAGGAAAAAAAAATGTTTAAGAAGAAATCATTGCAATGGTCTTTTTCTTGTGATGTAGCAGAAAGCTTTTGAGCTTTTGGAGACTGACTGGCTATGGGAATGCTCCAGGAGAGCAGGAAGTTGTAGGGAATAAAACAATAGCTGGAGGAAAAAGTTCTTGGTAAGGGGGGAAAATACAGGGAGGACAAGCTGCCATCAGGAGTTGGGACCAACTGGATTTTTATTACCCCCACCCCAACTCCTGATAATACCCAGCTTCCTGTAAAATCTGTTTTAAAGTACTTGAGGAGTTTCTGACTGCGACAGTGAAGCAGGAGGGAGACATTTCTGCTCTCAGATAGAATACAAATGCCCTGTGCTGTGGCATTATTGTAACTGATGAATTGTCTTCTGCCCTTGTGATTCTAAATGATGATTCTCCAGCTCTGGGACAGTTTTGGCTTGTAATATAATTAGAGAAAGCACCAGGGCCCTTTCCAGTCTGCAAAATGAAGCTGTCAGATGTAACCAGGTCTCTGAGGAACAGCTTCTGAGCATAGGTGGGGAGCTCACACAAATAATTTTCATTTTTATTAGTGTAGGATCCCATTTCCCCATGGGAAAGCCAAACGGTGCCCCTGCCAAACAGTCAGCCAGGGAATATTCTCTCATCTGTCAGTCCTGGTTATCTTTTGGAGGCCACATTGTGTCTGCAAACTCTCTGCCAACAGCGATCTTGCTGGCTGACAGTCTCCTCTTAATGGGTTTCATGGGAAGAAGTGGATTGGGGTGAGGTGGGAGCTTCCTTGAAACCCTCAATTTGGGACCTGCTGAGCAGGCAGCATTGAGTTTTTTGGAGGACAAGGAAAACTCCTGGGGAGGTGCAGGGTTTAACCCCCAGGATGGTGTGCATGGAAGTGCAGTGACCCTCATCTTTATCGAGTGGTAACGAATTGGGGCAGGTAAAAATCCCCACAGGACTTCAAGATTAGGGGCAAAGCTTCTACCTGTGAGGTTCCTGAAGACTCTAAGCAGGTGGGGATTCTCTCCTACAGGCATTTGCAAACCCAGAGGATGCCCTGCGCAATGGGGGGTTGCAGTTCTGCCGCGAAGACCCTGATGTGGAGCGGTGCCGCAGGTGAGCAGTGCCAGCATTCCCCTGGTGCCAGCATTCCTGGTGCCACCGTTCCCTCTGAACCAGCTGCTGGCGAAGAAGAATTGGGAAGCTAAAGGGCTTGCTAACCAAGTAATATTCTAGATGGTCAGGCTGCCTCGAGCTCTGCTGTGGGACCTTGCGCACTAGGGCAGTTTAATCTTTAACAGGAGCATGGTGTGCACTGGAGCAAGGGCAAGAGAAGGATCCGGGTTTGTATTCAACATCCAAGTCTGGCTAACTCTTTTCTAGGTGCTCAAAGTCCCACAGGCTCCCAATGTCTCATGCCATATCCACAGTCATAGACTCCTTGTGTCCTGCTCTGACAGGACCCCAGATCCCTGCACAGCTTGGACAGGCAGAAGAGTGACTGGTCCTAGTGCTGTGGGCAGCTGCCCTTCTTGGGGATTTGGGAAGAGGCCAAACAGGAGTGCAATGACTTTTGCCTCTCTGATTCGGCAAACTCTGAATGTTACCCCTCTTCTGTGAGAATCACAGCTTCTCAGAGATAAAACATGGGGTTATTCAGCCCTGGGCTTGATTTGCTGTCCCCTTGTCTGAAGGAGGTGCCCCAAGTGCTCAGCTGAATTGCTGATGTTGTACAGGAAAGGGATTGGAGCTATGCCCTGCTATCCGTGAGCCCTGGGCTGCATGTGGGGACCTCATTGCTCATGTTTCTAAGCATTTGCTTTAGAAAACCTCCAGTGCCACCTAATTGCTGGGCTGCCAGGGGGAAGAGGATGGAAAATGAGCCGTTTCCTTCCTAGCAAAAAGAAAATAATAGCAGAAATAATAATAATAATCTTCTTTTGATTATTCAGAATAAACAAACTTCCATAAAAATAAATAACTGGAGCTGCAGCAAAAACCTGGGGCAGCCTGGGATCTGACTTGGGCAGTTAAAGCTCTCAGAGTCCATCCTTGCTGATCAGGGCTTGCAGCCCTGGAGAAGATACATTCAATCCAAGGTGTTTCCCCAGAGCAAGGGCGACGTCAACTTTTCATCTCAGACTGTATCTGGAGGGGAGCAGAGCCAGGGGTCTGTGCAGGGCAGGGACAGAGCAGGGCAGCACATTTACCCCCTGCCTCTTAAAGAGGCCCCTGGCTGCCTCTCAGCGCTCTCCTTTTTCCTTCTTCTTCTTCCATTTGTCCTTCCAGCCCTGCTGAACCCCCAAGTCCTTGGGGTTTGTTCAGAGGATGGTGTCTTGGTGGGAAGGGACACAACACTCACAGCATGAGCAGATCCTGCTTTGGTGGTGCTGTGGGTGGTGGCAGTGGTGCTGTGACACTCAGGCAGGTTCAGCTGGAGCACAGGGTTTGGCCCTATCAGTGCTGATGTGTCACCACATGGCCACGGTGTCCCCTCCAGCCATACTGTGGCACCAGTACCCAGGTGCTGCTGGCACAGTGTGAGGGTTGTTGGGCCACTCCTCCCCAATGCCCTTTGGATGCATTTATGGAGAAAGGTGAAACCACAAACCCTCTCATCCTGTGAGTATCTCCACTGGAGAAACTGTGGTCTGGAGCTGCCTTTTGTTGTGTGGCATGGCCACATCTGGGGCCATGCCGTGCTGGCACCACACCAGTTTTGAGTTTTTTGCAGCTTCACAGGGTCTGTGTTTTGCTCTGTTTATTTGAAAGCTTCAACCCTTGAGCTGTCATCTGCTGTGGTAAAGTCATCTTAGTCATGGAGAGAAAGTTTCAGGAGCTCAGTGTCCCAAGGGAGAGACACAGGGTGTGAAATTCTCCTGCCTCTGTGTGTAAGGGAGAGCTGACACTTTTGGGGGCTGTGTCTGCCCCATCCAATGGGGGAGAGACCCAGCAGCACCTAGGGATGGCTACTCTGACTAGAAGGAATGAGAGAAAATAGGGAGTTCCAGTGGGAAGGAACAACCTTATCTTGCTTTTCAGGGCCCACCGTAATGACATGGAGAACATTTTTCCCTTTCTCTTCCTTGGAGCCATCTACTCCCTGCTGGATCCCAGTCCCACAGTGGCCAGGATCCATTTCCTCATCTTCTGTGTGGGACGGATCATCCACACCATTGCCTACCTCCTGCAGCTGAGGGCACCCACACGCTCTGTGGCCTACAGTGTGGCCCAGCTGCCCTGCTTCTCCATGGCCCTGCAGATCCTCCTGGCCACCACCCCATACTGGTAACAACCAGAGACCAACCACCCAAACCCCCTCATCCTGACTCTGCTGGACCCCCTGTGAGTGGGAAGGTGAGGGTGTGTGTGTGTGTGTGTGTGTGAGAGAGAGAGAGAGAGAGAGAGATGTCACCAGGGAGGTCACCTGGACCCTGAGGATGTTCAGTGCGGCCTTGATGAAATTCCACTGTCATCGGAATTTTGTCAGAGAAATCACCAGAGAGGAGGGACATGCAGGAAGGGGATGTGGAGCAGGTTTCTCTCCCACCTGCTGAAGATGAGAGGTGGGAAGCACGTGGACTACGCCTCAAGGAAGGGGTCATTGAAGGAAAGGTTTTCTGTGTTTGGAACTGTGATGGGGAAGATGTGCCTTTTCCTCCTGGTCATGAGTATCCTATGAATCAGGCAGGGAAAATAATGAGGGTTCCACAAAGTCTCTTAGCAGATGTGGTTGGTAGCAGAGGTTACAAAGCACCCACCCTTCTCCTGCCCAACCATGTGCATCTGTGGGAATGTGAGTCCTTTAGGACTTAGGCCTGTGCCTCCAGACAGCATAACAGGGAAGTCAAAATCTCAGATGTTGCAAAGCATTCAGTGTTCCCAGTGCCACCTCATCTCCTGCCACAGGACACAGCTCCGTGCCAGGAGCCTCACTGCAACCCTGCTAGCTGCTGGCAACTCCCAGCCAGCACCAGCTGTCCTTTTCCACCACAGCACAATGCAGAGCGACATGCCTGGAAAAGCCAGCAGGAATCCTTTACCCTGGACACAGAGCCTGAACACATTTGCAGGATACAAAGTTCTGGGGCATCTGGAAAGTCTAAAATGCTGGCACAAAACAGAGGGTTTGCAGACAGAATTTTCTCCTAAAGGGCAGTCTAGTCCATGTGCCACTAATACCTGAAAATGCCCCCAGAGCATCAGACTGAGTTTCTCCCCCTCTGTTTTTAGCCTTTCTCTGGCCACAGAATGGCTGTTGCTATTTGGGAAATGTGCTGTGATCGCCGTAGAGGTGTTTTCTTTCAGCTGTTTCCTGCTGTCCACTGCTGCCACACCATTCACAACCTGGACCAGCTGGTGTTTGCAGAAAGCTCTGGAAATGAGCAGAGGGGCTTTGAAGGGAGTATTGCTGCTCTGCAGTGCCACCCAAACGTGTCATGTTGGAGAGGAGAGGCCGGGACCAGGGTATTGCATGGTGACAAAGGCCCATGAGCTCCTCTGCCACGCAGCTGTCCCCAGGTGCCAGGGGCTGCTCCTGGCAGCAGCAACAATTGAGCATCCCTCTGGAGAAGAAGGCAGGAAGAAACCTCTGCTCTTCAGTGTATCCTCCCTCCTCTGAGGGCACAGAATTTGAATGACATCATAGGGGCAAGCCAGAATGAGTAGGAAATAAATTTCCCTTCCACCTGTCCTGTGCACTAAGGCTGTTCCCTTGACTCTACTCTCCTCAGAGATGCTCTTGCTGAGACCTCACTGAGCACTGGGGTGAACACCTGCTCAGAAATGATGCTCAGCCTTTGTTCAGCTTGGGTAGAAGTTTCTCGATCCCATTGCAGTTGTGGCCTGAGGCTGAGCTCTGTGGCGAAGTTTGGAGTGGAATTCTTTGCTCTCCCACTGCAAGGAAGGTGGGCAGGATTGCAGGTTCAGCAGTTCACTCTTGGCCACTTCTCCTTCACACAGATGTCTGGGTAGCACAGACCCCTCTTAACAAGTCTTTTCTGCCTCACATGGTGCACAAGGTCTTGAACTCCTCTATGTTTCTCTGCTGCTACACACGCATCCTGGTGGCAGGAAGTAAATATTCCCAATAAAAACAAATCATTGTGCTCTGATACATCCTTCCTTCGGGAGTAGCAGATGCAGCTGGGCAGCAGCTGGGTCCAGCCCCAGCAGAATGTTAAACCCCACTGTAGAGCCTGGAGTGCCCTGTGACTTCCAAAGAGACATCCTTTTCCTCTGCACTCACCTGCCCTGCACAGGAACCTCCTTTCTAGGTGTGCATTATTTGTGCTGACCTTTAAATTCAGCAGAGCTGGGAATTACAAGCAGTCCTGCTCAGTTTTCCTCCCCTGAGTAGCAAGTTGTTACAAAGCTTGGTGTTCACCCAAAAATCCTGGAGGGCTGGAGAAGCTCAGGTAAGATGTGGCTGATCTTCTTTGTGTTGTTAGGACTCGTAAAGGAGCTGCTTGTATTTTCCAAGATAAGTAGCTCCCTTTTTTTTGCACTAGGTTGCTGGGAAACAAATGCTTCATTTCTCTGGTTTTCCCTATTTTCTTAAGTTGTTGGTGGTTGGGAGTTGCTGCCCTGTCAGTGTCTGAGTTAGTTTCGTAAAATGGTTCCACTTGCTTGTTTTCTTTCCCTGTTTGTTTTCAAATGAGAAAGGCAGTGGTTTTATAAAATGGACTCTCTCCAGTACATGTTGCTGTGGTTGGAGATGTGGCTGGGATGGAGATTTTGGCATGGGAAGGAAGAAGGGAAGCTACAGAACCCCCTGCCAGCCCTCAAATCTGCTTCAGCCTCTTCTCGGCTGCCTGTCCAGTGCCTGAGGCTCATGCCCTGCTCAAGGAAGCTGAGGTTACATGCAAAGCTCTGCTTTCTCCTTTTTTATTAAAAAAAAAAAATAAAAATAAATAAACTCTACTTACTGGCTGCAGGGAAAAGCTTGGGAATGTGAACTGTCCTGGCTCAAAAAAAAAACAAACACAAAAAGCCTAACAGGCAAACTTGAGAGAGGCCCAAGCATTGCACTTATTTTGAAGTGTTGTGGAAGTTTGGGGGAAGCAGGACCAGTCCCATTACGGCTCTCCTGGGATGAGGTGATCAGAGCCCCTGGCTCTCCCCTGGACACTCACAGTGGTTGCTGCATATGGGGGGGGGGGCTTTTCCCAATTAATATCTAAAGCCCAGAGCTCCTGAATTCCTGCTCTGGCATCAATGTAGGCAAAGGATGTGCCCAGTGTCTCCTGCTGCTCCAGGAGAGCAAGGACAGTGGTTGCACCCACCAGTCTCTGGGGTTTGGTGTGTGCTTTGTGTGTACAACCACTTGTTTTTCACACCTGGCTCAAACGGGAAACGGCAACGATGTGAAACCCACCTGGGATTGCAGAACAACAATTTGATGCTTAAATGGGTTCAAATTGAAAGAGGATAAATTTAGGTTAGACATTAGGAAGAATTTTTTTACTGTGAGGGTGGTGAGACCCTGGTACAGGCTGCCCATGGAGGCTGTGGATGCCCCAGCCCTGGCAGAGTTCAAAGCCAAGTTCGATGAGACCTTGAGCAACTTTGGTTTAATTCAGGCTGTCCCTGCCTACGTCAGGAGTAAATGATCTTTAAGGTCCATTCCACCCCCTTCTGTGGTTAAATGTGTGAATGTGATTCACACAACCAGTACGTGTCTTCCCTCGAGGTGTCTGGAGCTGTGAGAAAAGCAAGTGGAGACCCAGCACAAGCCGCTTTCCCTCCCACACTCCTGCAGGTAGTTCAAGCCCCAGGATCCCTCCTACCCCTGAGCACCGGACACACCTCTTCCTTACCTGTCTGCACCACTCCCTGGTCTCTCTTCATCCAGACCTTCCCTTGGTGGGATCTGGACCAAGATTCCTCCTTGGGCAGCTCTCCTTAAACACAGATCACTCTTCCACCCTCTCAAAATCTCCCATTCTCTGCAGCAGATGGGATTTTGTTACACAAATCCCCTTATTCCTCTTGAGGAATTGAGATTCCTGTGACTTGTAGAGAGAATGAGAGGATCCAGCTCTACAAGTGAGTCCCCTGGAGAAGACAGCGGTGCTTCCCTACTGCTCTCTGGTGCGTGAGGATGAAGTTGGCACCGGGAAAGCTTTTTCCAGCGGGCGTTTTCTAACCCGGCTGTGGGGCTGAGCTGGGACACGTCCCCTGCCTGAGCCGTGGGGGCGAGCCCCGGCCGGGTGCGGAGCAGAGCAGCGCGATGGGGGCTGCTCTGCGCGGGGCTGCAGCACCCTCGTGTGGCTGCGGGACCCTGCGGGGGGACACGGGCACCCTGCCCGGGGACCCGCACCCACGGATTCTGCTGGCCAGAGAGCTGGGGGTGCGCATGGAGGTGTTTGGGATAGAGGGTGGGTGCCATTTCTTGGGGAACGGGTCGAGGGGAGGAGGCTGGTATCTGCTCCAGCGCTCATCAGCCTCTCCAAAGCAGGCAGGAGACCCTCCCATCACCTCAGGCTTTCTCCTTGGGAATTACCTAGTTGAAAACAGACTGGTTTCAAGAAGGAAGCAGTTTGCAAACGTCCTTGCAATCTTCCCCTGCTTCTGAAGTTGTGCTGGATGGATGTAACGCTGTGCATCTCCATGCAATAGTTCTTCTCTATACCTGATAACTCTTCCCAGGCTTTGTGACACCAGCTACAAAAGGAACCTTTGCTTCTTCCCTTTTCCCCAAGTAATTCTAAAGCATTACAACCCCTGTGCATAGCTACCGTCCAGATTCTCTGCTGCCTTAGGTTCCATCCCTGTGGGGTTGGAAAGAAGCAGCAGTGAACAAAATACCTGCTGCAGGGAGGAGATGCTCCTTCTATATGGAATGTAGAGTTTGGGGTGAGCATGGCAACCCCCAGGACAGGAGCATCGCTCCGAAGGGCAGGAGGGGCTTGGCTGCTGGGAGGTGACACGTTGCTCTCATAGGAACATGTGTTTCTGCAGTTTGTAGATGGTGCCAGCAGGACTCTGAGGGTCTTCAGACTTTCCCGTTGCCACCAGAGGGAGAAGGGCTCAGCAGCACAAGCATAGTGGGAAAGGAGGATACTGTAACCACGATATGTCTGTAAATCATTCTGGATGGGATAACCAGGCGGGTGCCCTGTGAGCTGGAAAATGTGAGCTCTGTTTTGTCTTGCTGCTGTAGCAGCCGATGCTGATGACAACACAAAATTGTTCTTATTAAAATATTCTAGGGGCAAACTTCAACTTTTCATCAGTCAGCAATTCATGCACAAGTGTCAGGCTGTGGGGTCAGAAACAAGGAAAGGGGGTCCAGAAAGGTCCTCCCATCACCTGAGACCCGCCCTTTTGGAATCACCTAGTTGAAAACTAACTGCTTTGAGGAAGGAAACATTTTGCAAATGTCTTTGCAACCTTCCCCCCCTCCCAAAGTTGTAGTGCATGGATGGAGACCAGCTCTCCTGCCAAAATAAGTACTGGTGATGGATGTGCCCTTCCTGGGACGAAAAATGCCCCCGTCTTGGAAGAACAGAGGTTGCACAATGCCTTTGAGCTCCTCTTTATCGACAGCCTTACCCATGTATCTCCCTCCCCTGTGGAGTGCAGACCCTGCCAGGTGAGCTACAGCTCTCCACACTTGTCTGTCCCCTGGTTTGAGACCCCTCGGATGCCCATCAGCTCCTGGGAGCTGACTGACCATGGGTTGAGACCTTCTGCTCTACTGGAAGATGAACTGAAGTTGGGATGGTTCAGGCAGGAAATAAGTGACATATTTCCAGCACTCAACAGTTATGAGTCACTAGAGGAATCTGCCCTGGCATCTGTAAGTTCATCACTTCCAAGGGTCTTTTGACTTGGGGCTGGATGATCTCCAAAGGGATGCTCTGCACTGGCCACATGCTGAGGACATGAGGATGCTGCTTGGGTGATATTCTTTATTCACGAGGTTGGACAATTTGCCTTAATGATCTACAAGCCACTTACTGAATTAATAAATAAGTGGTTACAAAGCAGCAGCAGAGCAGTTTGGCAGGGATGGTCAGGTGTGTGGGACCATGGTGGTCCTGGGGTGATGTCCAATATGGAGACTGGGTGCTGCAGGGATGATGTGGGGTGAGCTTTGTTCCCCTCTAGGGAAATCTGGAATGCATTGTTTAGGGGTCCTTCCTTCCTCAGTCTTGCCATCCACAGGATCCACATGTCCCAACAGCCACCAGTGATGGGAGGGACAAAGGTTGCTGCTGGGACGGAGCTGATCCTGTGGTCCTGGTGGAGCTGAGCCTCTCTGGGTGCATGGGATAGCATTGTGGTTCCCCTGGCTGTGTGGGGGGATTGGGGATGGCCTGGGGAGGAGGAGGTGACAGAGACATCCTGTAAGTGACACGATGTGAGCTGGCCTGACTGGAGGCTGCTGCAATTCAGGATGTGAAGGCAAGTAAAAGAAACAAGGGAAACCCATGTGTCCCAGCTCTCCCAGCTCCTGGAAGTCAGTCAGCAGAGCAGCAGTTTTCTTCTCAGGCAGTTGAATCCTTGCCATGTTGCACCAACACACACCCACCCACCATTAACTTTCTCACCCTCTCTGAACACACAATAACTTTGATCTCCACAATACCTTGGGGCGATGGACTTCAGGCTTTTTTCGTGCTGTGAGGACACTTTCTGCCTTGCTCTCTAATAATTTCCTAGCAATTCCTGCCACTTGACTCGCTGCCTTTCAGTCTGAGCATGTGCTGGGCAGTTTCCCCGGGGCACATCTTCACACTTCTCCACATTGCATTAAATCTGATGCTTGATAGCACTGTGAGCTCCTGGAGCCCTGCTTACCTTTGGCTGCCTCAACTATTTGGTATCACCTTTTCCTGACCACTGAATCCTCCTGTTTTGGGTGCTTAGTGCCTGCTCTGGACCTGTGGGCCTTTGCTCCCCGGAAAGCACTCTACAATCTGATGGTTTATTTCTACCCTTTGGTTTCTTTCAGCTCAATTTTTGTGCAGAATTTGACCCTTCTTGCTGCCTCTTAATTCAATTTCTGCCCAGGCTGCTGGTCCAGGGAAGGTGGGGAAACCACAGTGGCAGGTGATGGAAGACTCAGGTCCCTATCACATGCACTGACACATCTCTACTCAGTAAAATATTTATTCCTCCATTATTTCACAAGAGTTGTTTTTACAAAAACCTTACAAAAATTTCCAAAACACAGACATGCAGAAGAAAAAAACAAATCCACCATGGATCTTGTTACAAGTAATTGAAATGTACAAATAGAAAGGGTGAGAGAGAGCTTAGATTACAATAATCCCTCGGTCCTGCTACCCCCTCCATGGGTGCAATTTGTATCTCTTCTTGGTGAGTTCAGTATTGAGTGACAAGCTGTGATAAGCTGCCAAAAGCACAGCAAAGGAGGGGCCCTAAGATTAGGAGCAAATGTTTTCAAATATATATATACATATAGATATTTAGTGAAGAAATATTTATTCCCTGCTTTTTTTAGGTTTACAGAAACAGCATCTGCAAACTATTAAATGGGTTTATTTTCATTAATGTTCTCAAAGAGGCAGCGACATTTATATCCCTGTGGTTTCATCTTGTATAACCGAAAAAAGAGCCCTGTGCTTTCCATGGGAATAGGACCCCCCCGGCCCCCTCCTCCTGCCCCAAGCAGTGTTTCTCAGGGTGGATGATTTGATCCACAGTGGATCCCTATTCCCCCTGACTTGGCAGGTCTCTGTGCAGAGCTGTGGGGAGTTGTGTGCTCTTCTTCTGGCATGACAAATGGGAGGGATACCAGCCCTAGAAATACAGAGAGTGGGTGTTTCAGGTGACACTGCTCCCTGGATGAGGTGGACAGTGTCAGTCAGGCTGTGCCTGCTCTCTGCCTGCCAAGCTTGAGGAGAAAGTTGCTGTTCCCA